CGCTAAAGGAATGAGGAGTTACCGGCTAAAAGTGCTGATACATGTCTTTTTGATGTATACTGCGTTGTTAGTGGTGTGATCGAGTTGAGATGAATAATATCACTACATGTAGAGGAAATCCTTATGCCCGAGAGAGAGGGAGAAGGAGAGAGAGAGAGAGAGAGAGAGAGAGAGAGAGAGAGAGAGAGCTGCAAACTCGAAAAGGAAGCCACGGAAAGGTCATACTGAGCGTCTGTTGTGCTTCAACCTGTCGGGCACTGAAGTCCAGCTATCAATACATAGTGGGGAAGTGCTTGTGGGGGTGGTCTGCTGTAATGACATGCTTGAAACCGTGTCCGGCGTAGTCCTTGTTCATGCCATCACGAGCTCGTCATCATGCTTGTCAGCCAGCGCGCATGGGTCATGCACATGCTCGTAGTGGGCGGACACTTGAGCTCTGCTCAGTTTCCTTGCTCTAGGTGTTGCCACCGCCGTGGGTCATAGTGGCGAACGGATGGGCGCCTGCAGCCCCTGCAGCACGTTACGTGCCCGCGTCTTGCTACAACAGCACGACGTCTGAGCCGAAGGTGGAGCCGCGGTAGCCAGAGGCGCTGCGGCTGCCGCGTATGGCTGGGAGGGAGCTACGCAGAGTGTTCGTGAGCGTGCTCGCCCTAAGCGCCAGTCGCCCGCCCAAATCCACGCCGTCGCCGCTGCCTCTTCCTCTGTGCGCGTGTGTCCTGCTCCCAGTCTACCAACCGACCTGGCCGCACCCGAGAGCGGTCCTGGGGGAGGCGTGCCGAATGCGTGAGGTGACGGCAGAGTGAGCGGTGCCACCTGCGGCATGCAGTAGCTGAGCAACTTGCTTACTGACCAGAGCTACTCTAAGTAGACCTTCAACAAGGGCACTTACCCCGATTTCTGTGCAATACGACGCTAAAATTGGGTCAATAGTTCAGCAAATCAGAGTACTAATTTAGCTAAAATAACGCAGTTTTAAACCAAATCCACTTTAGAAGGCCCACAGCCCATAGATGCTCTATTTGGTGGAGGCCTCCTAAAAGTCGGGCCTCCGTTTAATGGCTTTCGCATCCTTTGTTGGAGGCTAAATCCCTGAGCTTCTATGAATAGTCACTCGGAACCGTTGGACATTGAGCCTGAAAGGATCTTATATGGAGGTAAAATGCAGCATTTTTGCCCCTGGGAAAGGCAACCATTAAACCTTTCCCTAGCCCTATCCATAAATTCATCGAAAGAAAGTAAATCAGAGCGATAAAACAGAGCGATTTCATTATAGGGTGGGGCTTCGCCCCAAATATGAAAGGCTATGGGCGTATTTAGCTGATTGCACGGGCCATGGAACTCTTCCAAAACTATCACAAACGCTGTCACAAATCGCGATTTATGTGCCAAATATGTCCTCGTTTGCGTCGTGTTTGCTACAACCGATGATACCGACCAAACCCATCACATTTGAGTGCTAAATACATGGCTACACTCACTTATCGTTAGTAACAAACAATGCGTTAGGTGCACGTTCAATCAACTTGGGTGGTAGTAAACACTCAGCATCTTGCGCTGGCTCTGCTGTCCACGGCTTGGGAGCGCTGTTGGCAGGTGGAAGTGAGCTCGGCGAGGAAGATTGAAGACTGATGTATTTGTTTGCTATGTAAGGCCACTTGGCCATGTTCACTATGTAGTTCTTGCTGCTGTTCGGTCAGTCCTACCTGTTCTCCTGCTGCAACGTCTCGTTCTCCGCAATCTCCGCCTGCACGTCGGCGGAGATGCCCACCACTTCATGCACGCACAGTCCCAAGATCACTGGCGAGTTCCGACAAGCGCTGACGCAGAGCTTGAGAGCGCGGGCGTGAACGCTCAGCATGAGTGGTGATTGGGAATTGAACCAAAATAATGGTACGCTTCATTTGCGCTCGACGCAATTTGTGGAGACGTCAAATTCGTCTCTACAAATTACGACGGATTTGCTACGAGAAATACGCCATGTTTATGACCGTAGCAAATATCGAGTTTGTGTGCGTTTTGGTAGAGCTCCCATGGTTCACCAGCTGTACATCTTACGCTCAAATCGTCTATTTACCTGGGGGATTACTCCAACTTCATCCTTTTCGGGACTTACTCTCACTAACGCCGGTTTTACTCGAGCTTAAGCTCGTTCGACCATTTTGAGCATCCCGTAGATTACTTCTTCTGTGTCTCGAACTTCGACAATCCAACAAACCAGCACAAGATTAGATCCCCGCAGCTAAAATATTCACAAATGAGCAACACTACCTTGTTGAAATACGTGGATAGTGAAAACGGTGTGCGATCGAGATGAGACCGCGTTCATTTTGGTTTCGTGCGTCGAGCGAAGTTTCAGCCCGCATTGCACGATGGCATCCACCACCTCTTCTTGTGACGATACGGTGACCATAGATAAATTCTTCATAAAGACCTGCGCTTGAGCATCCTCATGGATCTCAAAGTTTGTTGGAGCACGTAATCAAGGCAACCAGTTACAGTGTAGTCCGAGTACTTGGAATTCGTTGTGTTCGTGCTGCATGCCTTTTTCGTAGTCGTAGTCCTCTTCGATTCGCGGAGGATTCGAGCTGAAGCTGCGCTCAAAACAAACTCACGAGGCTGGGTGAGGGGCTTGACGGTTGCCCCCACAATGTTTATTGACGCTATACCTTGCGGCACTCTCAGTTCGAGGAATCTGCTTCATTGAAAAACGCATAAGATTAAGATAAACTGCATCGCTTCACCACACGGAAACCAAGTATACCTGACGAAAAAACCATTCGGCGCTGCTTGACGTCTGATACGACACTGGCCGTCCAGGTACCCGTTTTAGGAGAAGTGATCAAGAAAAAAAATAGGTTGTAAATTCTTCCAGTGCATCCTTACGCTCGTGTGAGGTCACGGACTCTATCGCAGTAGATTTCCAAAAAGCTGACGACGAGGGTCACTTCCGCGTTATGTTCGAATCCAAACGTGCCAACATCGCCAATTTTCACACGCACTTTCGACTTGCTCGGCTGACGGTTCACCAAAAATGTCGAAAAGATACTCAATCGACCGAGAGAGTAGCCCAGCCTTGTCTCACCAAAGATGCTGTAAAGATACCGATCAGAAATCAGCGTTCGAGATGACAAATTTCATTGATATACCTGAATGTTTTCCCTGCAGCAGCTATCAAAGTCATGAATGAGCAGCATGACCCGGCTTACCGCTTCAAACAACATTTCTTGAGTTGTGTCTGTCCAGTAAATCTGCCATAAGACACCATTTGATCAGTGTAAACTTCTGCGGGGGCTATCACAACACTATTCTGCCCTACATTATCGAAGCTAAAGGCGTCGTTTCCGTATTGCATTCGTTCCGTGTCAAGCAGCTCAGCAACCTCACAAAATGTACCGCGAGCTTATCAGACCAGCTTCCCTACCTTGATCACGATATTACTAGGTGCCTCTTCCTTCCGCTCGAACATGTCTTCGGGGGCGCTTTGACCGTCTGCGCAAGGTCGAGCACGAACATGAACCTATCGTGATCAAAGTTGCGAACAGTCAGACGCGGATGAGTAGGCATTCCTTCCTGCTACGTTGGGGATCTGAAAGCCAACCTTGACGTTGGCATTCCCGCCGAGTGTAGTAGGTGGTGACCTTATGGTCCATACTGAAGCGTCTACTCTCTTGTCTTCTCGACGGCAGGGCGTCTTCGCTGGAGCTCCGAGGAAGTATTTTCGGTAACGTTTTATCGGCTGCACGTGGTTGCGCCTCTTCATCATATACGCTCGTACGATGGGGCTTACGGCGCCGAGCAACTCGGTCGAGTACTTGCATAGCTCGAAAGGTAAACCCAAGAGCAAGACGATCAGTGGGAATGGCAGCGCGTTGGAAAGGTGCTTTCGACAAAATGCACGTGCAGTTGAAGCAGAAGACAGAGGAGACGGAGGCCCTTGCAGTCCAGCGCAGCAGCCACACGCCACGTTCGCGACAGGTTCTGCGAGTAAAGTACCCGGCACGACCGGCCTCCGTGGAGTTGGCCATCTCGATCACCTCCTCCTCCGTCGTGAACTTGAACAGCGACACAACAGGTCCGACCAACACGCATTGTGTTTACATGGGCCAGCACTGTAGCCTCGTAGAAGTTGCGGCCGATGTCTCTGCGCTGGCCACCGACAAGAGCAGTGGCACCGTTCGTGACAGCGTCCTCGGGGCCAATGAGCGGACCGAGATTCGCGCCTTCCTCGTGGGGCGGGCCTATCTTGAGCTTCTTGACGCGCTCCACGTGCTGGCGTGGATGAAGAGGGCGGTTGCTGCACACGCACTTTCCGGTGCGCTGGTGATGCGCCTCGCTCCAACAATGGCAGCGTCCAAGGCGTGTCTTACCCATTCAACTATGTGCGATATGGCGAGGGCCCTGCCGTGGTTGCTGGCGCTGCTGGGCGGCCCGGCACCCGAAGGATGAACGGCTCCAGCTTCTCTCCAGCTTCTTCGAGTGGTTGCAGAGCTTTGGTCGTTGCAGCCGCATTTCCGGTGCAAGCGGTGCTGCGTAGAAGGTATCTCTAGATTGTTAAACGGACGACGCGTCAACAGTTGAGCTTCGAGGTCCTGTGTTTGCCTTTGATCTCTGCCCTGCCGAGCTAGGTGGAATTGCATTGTACAATACATGTATCCTTATCAAAAACGTTCCAACCTCCTAAAGACTTCGGGCCTGGATCATCAACCGAAGGAACGCCCGCGCTCGCAACGCTGAGAGATGCATCGTCGTCGGTCGTCGTCTCACTCTCGACTTCTTCACTCGCTGCTGCGAGTTTTGCTGCGGCTTCCGCCCGCCGCTCGCGCACGATGTTCGTGGCGACTTCCATCACACAGAAGGCGCCTGCAAACTCGGTTGCAGGTATCCCCGCCAGCATAGTAGCCACAGCCTTCCCTACTGCGTGTGCCACCTTGAACTGCGTCGTGGGCTCCACAGGCTCCGGCGGGTCCTTATTGGCAGCAGCTGCGGTGGCGAGGCGATACTCACGCAATGTCTCCCGGGGGTGCTCGGTACGACAGCAAGCCGGCTTTGGCCGCTGGAGGGTGAAAGCTGGTCGCCTTCGCCGCCGCAGCGCGCTCCTGGTTCCGCAGCCGCTGTAGCATGTTCTGCACGTCCTTGAAAGTCGGCGTGCAGCTCGAGTTCTCAATGATATAGGAGCGGATCTCCTTGGGCTTGACGCTGGTCTTGTGCATGAGCTCGACGCAGCTGAGCAGCTCGTCCGAGAGACCAAGCCTCGCGTTGCTGTACTGTTGGTACGTCTCCTTGTCCACGCGGTGGTTGTGCGTCAGCAGCGCCCGCGTGACGTTGACCTCGTAGCGGTTAACCTCCGGGTCCACGAGCTTCATTCAAGCACGCGTTCAACTGCACATTGCAGTGCATGGCGCGCACGTCCTGGCATGATCAAACAGCACGAGTCAATAAAGCAATTGCCGTTTGATGTCAGACTGTAAGTTATCAGCTTACCTGGCGCGAGCGCCGCCCCGTGCCGCGGGACACATACTGTAGCTACCGCTGTGTGTGCACACGAGCGTGACCGAGTAGTTGATGTACTTTAGCGGGATTAGGCGCGCGCTGTCCGCCGACGCCGCCGGTTGCGGAGCTTCACGGACGTGGGCGTGCGCTTGCGGAAGATCTGGTAGCTGTACGAGTCTATGTAGCCTCCCACGAGTCGAACACGCGGCGGTTCAGCGGCGCGCCTTCGTGTCGCTCCTTGGCGACGGTGGCGTCGGCAGGCGGCGACATTTGCGCTGTGCTGTTAGTTAGTGGGTCAAGTGAGCTCTTATTTGGGTTCTTCATCGCTCATTTGGGTACTCTTAATTGGTCACTTCGACTTACTTTGGGCATTTGTGGGTGCTGCTACTCGTTCTTCATAAACAGCGACGCAATTGACAGTAGCTTGGGCGACACGGTGCTCATCTGTGGCTTTGGGCTCACGCGTTGCACGGCGACTGCGCATACACCGAGGGCGCCGACAACTGGGAGGGCACAGCGGAGCTCGTGGACTGCATCTTGGGCAAGTACAGCAGAGCGACGATGCACTATCTGTATCGCTGAACTTGCCGAAACGCATCAGGCAACACACCTTGCGTCCAACGTTGGCCTGCATCTTGACTGTGTGGCCGGTGCGTTGATCCAGGTGAGTGTCGTACCACTGGTTATAATACTCTATTGGGCAAATGAGCACTCACACGGTGACAGACTGCAAAGATAAACTTCTACACCAGCTAATACGACGATATGGATTTAATGACTAGGAAGACAACATAAAGATGTTTATGATCATGCAGTTTCCAGGTGCCAGTGTGAAATGGGAGCGGTCACTTGACTTGGGCCGGCATCATGTACTCCACATTTACCGATGGAGCCCGAACCGGAGGGTTGCTGTGCCGGTACTGACTAAGCGTATAGCGCGTGGTAATCTGTATGCCAGCCTCTGCTTGTCATCTTGTGGACTCTACCATGATAAAGTGATCATCGGCGGTGGCGAGATCTCTGTCCATACTGTGTCGACATGGTTACCTGCCACAGCAAAACCTACGTTGTGTTTTGTCGCTGAACCTCTGCTTGCGTTGGTTTTTTCAAAGTTGTGGGGCATGAACAAAAGAGATATGACGGAATCCGTATGACCCAACGGTAGGCGGCTGCTAACGGTAAGATGCTCGCAAAAAAGCTATAGACGTCAAAATCACGTTCACTAGAAATGTATTGATTAGGAACTGACCTAGACTCCCCCAATTGTATGTTGGTTTGCCGCATTCATCACCAAACTAGATCATGCTTCGATTTCTGCCTCTTCGCCGTCAGTACCGTGATTTCCTCGTCCAGATCTTGAAGAACCCTCGGATTGGTCTTGGGATCTTGAAGCACAATCAGAGCCCGGATCCGATCGCTGAGAAAAGTGTAATCCTTCGTTGCTGCACTCTTCACTTCGATCTCTAGCTTGCGCTGCAGGTAATTCGATCGGCTCGACACTTGTTTTTCCATAAGGCAAATTTTGCGTTCCTCCGAAACTTGCTTGAGCGTTGCCAGCTCTACCCGCCATGCCTGGTTTCCAAAGTCCCGGATTGCTTCAGCTACCTTGTTTTTCTTCCTGCGGTTTGAACCCGACCCCGTTTCACGCTGCGTTGAATCGGTGCTCTCGTAGAAAACGTCGTCTGGCAGGTCACGATTCACAGCACCGACAAGCTCACGCTTTATCTGTAGGTGCATATGAATGTAAAGTGCATCCAAACGCCCGTTACAGTACTTGTAGAAGTCCTTGCCGTTTGTGCCAGTCGTGGTAAAGCGGATGTGGGCCTGGCGGTAAGCTCCGTGAGCCGATCCCCAAATTTGGCGGATTTGCTTGACCGAGTGCTGAACGATGCTTGCAGGGTTGACACAGTTGGGGTCCAATGCAGGGTGGGCACCAATCAAATTGTCGAACTCCTCCTCCGGTGTGCAATCTAAGAATGCAGCAAAAACGTCCTCCCAAAACTGTTCCTCCGCTGATACAGCGGTGCCGAGATCGGCACGCGTACGCTGGTCGAAAAGGGCGACAAATCTAGTCGCAAATCGACTGGAAAACAGAATGTTAACCAGTCGAAACGGGCACTGCACTTGCTTCGACTCGGGCTCACGCCGCTGTTGCATCTTGTTCTCAAAAATATGCCCGTAGATCTTGTCGTTCTTCATCCGTTGAGCGATCAGAGATAACAGCACAGCCTTGGGTTTGTTTTAGTAACCTCGAATGCCACTTGCAATACAAAAGCTACGCAGAGCAAGGACTTTCGTTTTTGTAGGCGGCATTCCTCTGATCGTTGAAATGACAGGGACTTCTACTTGTCTCCCATCACGCTCCACCGTCTCCGTTAACCACTCGAAATCATCGAAACTCAGCTCCGTGCCTTCAGCGGTCTTTCCTTGATCTTGCTCTTCTTCCTGGTCCGAGCTTTCACTTGCATCTGCACCTGGATATTGCTGGCGTACTTGCTCAGCAATGGTGACCGACTCGACGGGGGTTCCTTCACGCCCCACTTCATGCGAGGAGATACCCTGGTGCACGTCGACCTCATCCACGCGCACTATCGCGTCCGTTGTACCAGAGGGTTGAACCTCGCTTAGCGACAATGGAGTAGCCGTATCTTACGCGAGAGCAATTGAGAATATTGACAGCATGGAGCTGCTGAAAGTCGCGTCTTCAGCTGCTTGAGAATTGGTCTCGCGTATGTTGTCGTTTCCTGGAGACTGGGTCGAAGATGGAGATGCTGTAGACACTCTTGGCCCGCTGCTATTAGAGGAGACGGAGAATACTGGGGCGGGCGCGCCACGTTCGTAGCCTCCCCCAGCTACAGCAGCGGGGATGGTAGGTGGCATGTAGGTCAAAGTAGCGAGGGGGGAGGGAAACCAAAGCAAACTGGGGGGTTGACGGAGACTCGAGGAATGGTGGAGGTACTCGCATCCGCAACGAGGGAATTCAACTGCAAAAATTCGACTTTCCCCTCTGTACAACCGTGAACTCTTTCAAGTTTGATAAAGTTCATGTACTACCTCCTGTACTACCTCGTGATATCTTGCGCCTTTCTACGTCAGGGACGATTACGCTCAAAAGTTGTACAAGGTTGCACGGATACTACCAAAATCTACCAATCTACCTCTGTTGAGAACGGCCCTGAGGACCTGGGGGAACTGGTGCTGGTGGGCAATTCGACGCGTATCCCCAAGGTGCGGACCATGATGTCGACGCTGTTCGGCGGCAAAGAGCTGTCCAAGTCGATCAACCCGGACGAGGCCATGGCCTACGGTGCAGCTGTACCAACTTGCTGCTGCTAGTGGACGTGACCTCGCTGTCGCTCGGCATTGAGACCGTGGGCAAGGTCATGTCGGTGCTCATCAAGCGTAGCACGGCCATCCCCGTGCGCAAGATCCGCGTGTACACCACGGAGGAGGACTACCAGACGTCCGTGGACGTGTGCATCTACGATGGCGAGCGCGCCTGCGTCAAGCCAAACAACAAGGTCGGCGAGTTCAACATCTCGGGCCTGGAGCGCACCAAGCGTGGCGAGCCGCAGGTCGAGGTGACGTTCGAGATTGACGTTCAATGACATTCTGTCCAACCACATGCTGCACTCGGGCGCTCAGTTCAATGTCTAGTACGCTGGAGAGTTCCACATTGAGAAGGACCCCTCGGGCAACTACAAGCTTTTCATTGACAACAACAGCGGCACGTACGCCCCCCCGCCCAAGGAGGAGCTGCCGCAGCCCAAGGCGCTGCTCGAGACCAACTTCTCCGGAATTTCGGTCGAGGCCCTGGACCGCAGCAAGAGGTCGCAGTAAAATAAGTAACCTAAAATAAATATAGTCAAGTTCCTCGTTAGTTGGATAATATTGTCCTTACTTCTGTAGCAACTTGAAGCTTAGTACTAGTGACTACTACATCGCACATGTATCTAGCCTCCTCGTCAATAAGTCGTCATGCTAGCAACACAAGCTTCTGGTTTTTTCGATGGCGGCTCGCGTGGTAATCCAGGCCCTGGCGGCTGTGGTGCTGCAGTGGTCCGCATTGGAAACGTACGGGGTGGACATGAGATCTGTTGGGCCGTTGGCATGTCCTACGCGGCAGCCAGCACGACCAATAACGTGGTGGAGAACATGGGGCTCCTGACAGGGCTCAAGGCGTGCCTTCGTTTTGGCTGGACGCCACTTCATGTGGTAGGTGACAGCAACCTCATCATTCATCAGCAGAAGACGCGGACACCGCCACGCGCCAAGCATTTACGACCGCTGTATTGGCAAAGCCGAAGGGTGGCCGACAAATTGGCGGTCATCTCCTGGCAGCACCACCCTCGTGCGCACAACAGCAAGGCAGACGCCCTCGCAAACATGGCGATGGACTCACGCCGCAGCTTTCAAAGAAACCTTAACCGAGTCTGTGGCTCCGACTCGATTTGGGACGACGTGTACAACTACGCTTCCGGCGACGTTAGTCACTGGATGGAGCAAAACAGCGATGAGAACTCCTCGGGGTTAGCGGCCTTCACGCGTTAGTGTGTGAAGGTGGCTCTGGTTGCGGCTAGAACAGTTTCATAGGGTGGTTGGATTGAGACAACCGCCGACAAGGTCGTAGCTGTCGTTAGCCAAAGAAGTTAAGTGACATCAATGTACCTCAATGCGAAACAAAACGAAACGAAATAAGCTTCTGATTCACACCGACCAAGTCTATTAAACCGAGCTGCTTACAGTACTCTACTCCCATGCGGCCAGGGTCTCCTTGTGCGCCTCCTGCAATGATTCGTCGTTTTGGCCGAGCGCGATGCAATTAATTCCAGGGGCGTTGTTTTCCATGAGAGCCTGGAGCTGAAGCAGGTCTTCGGTGGGCGGCGCATACGTACCACTGTTGTTGTCGATAAACAGCGTGGGCATGTCGAACCGGTCGGTGTCAATGCGGAATTCGCCGGCGTACTTGACAGAGAAGGCAGCTCCCGAGTGCAGTATGTGCGTGAGGGCATGTCCTTGAAGAAGTCTGCTCCAGTCTCGGAGAAGTACCAACCCTTGTTGGTGATGACGTACGTGAAGAGCACGGGCTTGTCCTGGCGTCTACCGTTGTGATTGAGCTCGAAGAACTCGTTGGGCGAGGAAACCGCGCCGTACTTCGTGTCGTTCGCCAGGGATCGGAAAATAAAAATTGATATTGTAAAATTGCAATATTGTTGGGCATCGATATTGTATTGTAGCGATGTCATCAATATCCACTATTTATTGTCAATATTCTCTGAAATTTATTTCAGAGTTAAGGGACGATTGGAGTCACTGGTCTTATTAATGACTTAGTGCATTCCTGACCAAGTCGATCAATAACCTTTAATGGATAAACGAGGGGTTTCATACAAATAGCAAGCCAAACTGCAGTGCAGTGGAGTAAAAGAATACACATACCCCGCGTAAGGTGATATTTTAGGTGAATGTTACCTGTGGCGGCAGGTTGTGTGGAGCACCCCAAATAGCTACATTCGAGCGACCTAAGTCGAAAAATTGCGTTTACCGATCAGAATTTAACCTTTTCACTACCAGAGATTTTTAGTAGGTCCCCTCCGGACCCATATGACAGCCAATCACATTGCAGTCGCCTTAATAAATTAACCAATAGTGAAACATTTTGCTTCCACGTGGAACTTATTTTTGCCCGCGGAGTAACTCACGGTACTGCATTAGACCTGAATTTCCGATTTAGCGAGATGACCGCCGCTCCTAGTGCCATACTTCTACTGCAACATATTGACGTGCGAATGGGGCCGCTACGGCGAGGCTTTTATCGACAACAGGATCGAATGCTGTCAAGCCGTTGTACGCCTCGCTCGAGGGCACTTTACCAGCTTATCTACCACTATAGTACTATGCAAGAATGTCTGCATTTGTAAGTTGACGCGTATCTATATTCCGCTGTGTGTGTAGGCGAAGGTAGCGCGATTGAATAATATAGTCAGATACTACGACTGCATTGATACTGTGCCATCTCATCAGTAGATATAGCTCTTCTACGTTGTGCGTATTCGTTTTGATCGTCGACATACATGTACATGTAGATAATGACGCTGAGGTTGCATCAAGGGGTGTACTGTAATAAGTAGTAGCTGGACCATGAGTACGGCGAGCTTATAACAATGGCAAGCTCGCCGCTGTTCAACCCTGCCAAGCTGTGTAGAACCCGCTGAGATAAAGAAGATTGGTGTATTTACGCCTTCAGTTACATATTGATGATATTGCATTGTAGCTAGGAGGCCGGTTACCATTGGTAACTTACCAGCTTAGCTCTGCTTGTCAGGCGCTAACCACTGACAGGGCTCCGGCGTCGATCCTACCCTTTACACTGCTACCTGTTGCAGCAGTTCTACATGTTGGCTTATCTGAGATTTTAGTAAGATAGTGTTTGGCATCTACTAATAGCTCCGTTGTACGGCGTCTTTCTTGCTATTAGATGTAGCTTGCCCTATATTCCTTACCAGCTCGGCCTCATTTTTATCGCCTAACGGAGCCTCCGCCTAGCAACACGAGCTTTCATGACAGCCATACGCCAGTATTGGTGAGAATGCTTCCACGGGCAGCAACAACTAGCCGGCATGTAGTCACTATATACAGGTACACTACAGTGTGTACCCGCGCCCTGGTACTATTGCAACCTCGTAAGATGTTAGCTTAGAATAGGTGCGAGCTACTCCTTCTACGCGCTCAGTCGTTGCGCGCGGCACCCGGTGAATGTGGCACGCTGCTCGTTGCCGCCGCTAGAAAGCGATTAAAGCATGTGAGCATCAGGGCTCGCAAACGGTGCTGACCGGGTACCCGTACCCGCCCGTGTAGCCGTCCAAGCCGAAGTCGGGTACCCGTACCCGCCCGCCCACAAGCCACGGGTGTACCCGGGCCAGCCAGGGCTCAAGATTTTGTACGGACGGACCGACTGTTACATCTCCCGACACGGTTTTAAAGTTAAACATTTAAGTAGGAACTACGCGAAATCAATACAGAGTGAAAAGGGCTTGTGGAGGCTAAAAGAAGACGGCGTAGGAGCATGATATAGCTGGTATAAGTAAGAAATATTACAATTTAGTACTTTTTTCGTCAACTTCGGGTACCCGTGGCACCGCCCGAGGTTTGCTTCGGGTACCCGTACCCGACCCGAAACCGGGTATACCCGAGGCGGGTAGGGCGGGTACAAGAAACGGGTACCCGATTGCGAGCCCTGGTGAGCACACGCTTCTCGAACAACTCCACGTCGTAGCTGATGGTCTCGCGCCCGAGGTAGAATTGCACAGCGCGAGCCGCTTGGATGGCATGGAGTACTATGAGTTTGTGAATACTCTGGCGTGTATGACGCCCGTACATCTATTTCATGTTAGCACAAAGACTTCGTGGAAATGTGAAATTTCAAGTATGCTTGCTCCCAAACTAATCTGGCGCTCACGGTACTGCGTAAATTATAGGTCCGCAGCGGTCCTACTAATCTTGGTGAGCTGCATTCCCAAAACCCTCTGACGTATTTTTATCCAATCAACAGTACATGTACCTGCTCTAATAGGACCGCTGCGGACCTATTAATGCATCGGGCTGGGCTGGTAGTGAAAGGGTTAACGATAGAAAAACAGATTACCGGGGTGGCTCCTTGATCTTAGCGCTAAACATCAATCGTGCAGAGTCATTTGATAGACAAGTGTATGACTTCAGCTATAGAAGCACTCATTGTTCTCTCAGTTCCCATTTCGCATTGACCACTAAGCCAAGCAACAGGCCTTCCCACTCACCAAGCCCCAGTCCAATCTACCTGCAACATGGAGATGCCACTACACGCGATTAATTCCAGTGCGTACAATTGCAGCAGGCCCGTAGCATGCTAACTAACTAACTGGTTATACCACTCGACCCGGTAAGTCAAACACTGCGTACTAATCGCTTGGCTATCAGATACGACACTGAACGGGGGCCGTAGCTACCGGTGCGGCTGATCAGTGGTGGTGTTGGTCAGGAGCAGCCCGTGATCTCACGCATTGAAATACACGTCAATGGCGCGGAGAAGCGCAAGTATAAATGCAGTAGCTACGAGAATAAAAGTGTGATCGCCAGCGACACTGTGCAAGTTACAGCAGTTTTTTACCCTCGGTCTTGCGGAGGGGTGCCGTACGACGGGTCCATTTCGGATTCGGCTCAAAACCAGCACTTCTCAGAGTGGAAACACGCCGTATTACACAATTCAACATGCAGACAGTTCACCTGCTCCTGGCGGCGCTTGTTGTCGCTAAGGAAAAAGCTACACAAGCAACCACTACGTACTCACAGTGTTAACGAAGATAGAGAGCTACCAACTGACGAGACGAGAAGGAGGAGAACATTTTCGCACCCTCAGTTGTTGCAAATTGCGACTCGCAATCCTCAGGGGTCTCCTCGGGAAAATCACAGGTACCGTCATCAAGGGCTTCAGCCGTGTCCACGGCTGGAACCCGAATTTCGTGGAGAAGCTGAGCGCCGGAGGCACGATTTTGTCTATGAAATTTATTTGGAAAATCATAACTAGGATAGCTGCATTTTCTCCTTATAAGCTAACATTTACTCAAAATCATTGAAATAACAACTGACGGATTAGCGATTGAAAAATCGGAGAAGAACTCTGAATTTGCTTAAGTGTAGAGGAGAAGAACATTTCAACCTAACGTGCATCCCTTTCCTCTTTTGCTTCACCAATCTTTTTTTTTGTTGAAAACCTGAAATTTCAGAGCTTCTTCGGGCCGGAGGCACGACTTTGTTGTTCAGGAAGAAAAACTGCCCCTACCTTCTCTTACGATATTAAAGAGCACCATAAGCTAGTTTTCCTCTCCTTTTTTCCGTGGCTGTTGCCTATTGAATGCTTCTGACAGCCGTAATAGCACTTTGCTGGTCATCAGACCCCAATCCATCGTCAGTACTTAATCGAGTCTCAGTTTTTTTCACGCTTCGCGTCGAGGGGTCGATGGCGCTGAACAACCGAATTAAGTATACGTAGACTTGCTCTCTTATCGAGCTATGGTTTTCTCCATGAGAGTAGCCTTGAGGTCCGCAGGGCTGCACTTCTGTTTTCTTTACAGCCACGTAATGGCACCAACGTGTATACGTAATAAATTTGAGCAGATACTGCGACTACGTGCGAAAAGACTTCGTATGCGTAGGAGGGGAGACACTTTAGACCTCAGAGCTGCAGCGTTACTGCGGTACCTACGTCGGTGATAATAACTTGGCTTGTGTCCTTGGCAACAGACGTCATGAAAGAGGGAGAGGTCCCCCCAACCGAGTCTCCACCATTGCTCGTCGATGCTTCTGTCTGGTCACTTTCGCTTTAGACACTAGGCAGACCGTCAATCATGTTCGGACACGTACAGTTAGGGGTAAAGACTCGCTAACCATTGGGAATAAGTGCATGACGATCATGCTAACATTACTCAACGTACTCATATACTCTAGTATAGTACAATATATCGGCATACTAAAGGCAAGTATGGCAATATATTGGGGCAAATATTGATATTGGTACAATATTGATTGTGATGACTGCCTCGCCGACAATCAATATCCAATACGAGTAAATCACGGCGTGCTGCGTCATGACTGCTTGACGAAACACAGGCGACTCCGGGTGGTCGGGCGAGAAGATCCGCTGGATCGTTGGGTAGTTCTTGTTCTACTCGTGGTCTCTCGACAAGAATTGCGGGATGTTGTGTAGCTGGACGCGGTAGGCCAAGGTCGTCGTTGGACGTTAGCATGGACAGAAGCCCGGCCGAAAAGCTCGAGTGCACAGAGTAGCGCACAGGTCCGACCTCTTGCAGCTCGGCGTCTTCGTCAAAGCTCACAGGGTGCGAATTCACCTTGATACTAAGTGTGCCGGCGTTTCTACCGGCCATGGTGATCGGCAGGTCGAACGCAGTCTCCGTGGCATACATAGCGGTGTCGGCAATGAACTGCGCCTCGCCCAACTCGTCGTCGGCGTCCACATCCTTGTCGAACAGCGAAAGCTTGAACACCAACGAGTGCTGGACATTCTTGAAGACGAACTTCTCGTTCCACTCAGGCTTGAGCGTGTCGAAGATCGGCCGCGTCCAGGCCACTTTCTGGCCGTCGATCTCAATGTAAACGTACGCGTCCCTCGACGAGAACTCGCCCTTGAGAGCGGTCTTGAGGCCGAGGTAGTCACCGGTGTCGATGCCCTGGAGAACGAATGCAGTCGTTAGAATGGGGAGCAGAAGTGCAGAGATACGCTCGTGACCACACGCACCTTGGCCGACACAATCTCGAGTTCGATATCGAGCAGACTGTCCGGGGAATCGAACATGACGGGCATGCTGGTAGGGACAGTGGAGGAAGCTGCTGCTTGATGGCGGCGGGGGAAGTTTGGGTCTGATCGGTGCTGGCCAGGACCACAAAATTTGTGAGACGGCGCAAACAAAATCGTAACAGTAGCGCTGCTCGAGTCTCTTCGAGGCTCTTCGCGCACGAGGTCTCTAGCCTTCTGCTCGCATGATACTTCAAACCTGCGTTGCTCTTTTTGGCTTGGCTCCGTAGCAATTGCATCACGCGATCGCAGCAATTCCATGCGCACATTTTCTGCTATGTTGTCCTCTGCTCCACAAATACTCAGCATTGATCACCTCTTTCTACTGCTCTGTTTGTGCTACTCAATGTGAAAGCTACTTTCCTCTTCTGCTAAACGCAAGACCCGCTTGCTTGCTGCCTCTGCTGGCTGCTCATCATCGGCGGTGTACAAAACACCATGTTTCTAAATCGTTTTTAAATGCCTGGGCTGTACCAGTACAGCCCAGGCAATTGAAGCTCGAGGGCCATAATGAAAGCCACTCACTTTCTCTTCCTAGCCGCAAGTGGTACACCTCAGCGGAGACCATATTTACGAGTACGATCTCATTGGCCGAAAGGGCCACTTAAACGAGTGATCTGTGTACTTTTAACGAGTGAGGTGGGTGCGAGTGTCCCTACCGCAGCATCTCGTAAAAATACATTTCTATAGAGCGATCCATAATAGCTTCAATTAGCCATTAACCTAAGCCAGGATAGTACCGTGCCTTGCTGAAAAAATATGCAAAAGTAAATGGCTTCAAAGCGAGAGTCAAACGTGGACCCCTCTTGACATCTAACTGGGGCCTCGAAAGAGGACTCGAGACGCGCTACTGTAACTCAACTTGAAGCTGCGGAAAGTTTGAGTCACTTGAGTTTAGTATGAGTTTTGTATGTTATCTTCAACTTCAATTGAACTTTACCGGCAGGCTTCTAAAATCTAAAGGGTTTTTAAGGTGCGGCACATCGTTGTGTATAACACACAAAACAGCGGTCGCTCCTGTATGGGCAGCTTGGTGCAGAACGCTCGTTGTGTATGGATGCAGCTACCCACGTTAAACAGTGTAAGATCTGGTTGTATTATGTAGCACTACACCAACGCTGTGCATTTGTGACGGGGACACGCAATGTTGATATTTACTACGCAGTGTACAGAACTTCGCGATTATGGTCGTCTTGTCTTCACATTCGCAGCATTACCATAGCTAGCAAAACGGCATTCGGACCGACAGCAAGTTGGATCTGATCTCCCAGCACGTCGAGTTTCCGCGCACGAGAACAGCCGGTTCTTCATCATCAACGCTTAGGTACAGTGCCGTCTTTACTTACTACGATGGAGTGAGAAACTATGGTTCTCATGCAAACGTTGTTTTCTATCTATCGCTGCCACAGCTTCCGTCATATGTCCATTAACTAGTTAAGGAGAGCCTTCTGCCACTAGTAAATGATACAAATACGTCGTATTGTAGTAGAATGTCCTTTTGCGCTCGAGGGCCAGATTGCTGTCAGGTGCCCGCGTATGCCACCCGAAGAATGGAGCTTCATCGAAACACAAACATTTGATGGTCGAAAGAATGCAGAAACGCAGTCCGTGACACCTTGTTCGTCGTAGTACCGTATAGTTGGCAACTCACGCCTAGCGTTGAGCTCAGTTTTGGTCATGTCGGTTGACGACTACAGCGTCCAATCAACTACTAGAGCGTGAGAGCGAGACGGGTAACAACTAATACCCGATTTTACCGATGTGATTAGGTATTAGGGTCAATGTAAAACACATAAAGTGATGTCTGCCACATATGATTCCCTTTTAAATCCGGATATATCAGGCGTCTCGTTCTCAGTACTGTATGTCAAGGGTTCGTGATATATACCAGAATTTAAAGAAGGTTGCTTGTTAAGGGCAGAGGTGGTACCTTCTGTATGAGCTCATACAAAAACAAAGCTAAAACTACTAAAGTTGCCAAATCAGAGGCCGCATACCTTGAAGTACCGCCGAGTGTATTGAGACCACATTTAGGTCTCACCAGATGTGAAGTGGTGTTATGTTAGGTCTATCAACTCTCGCAGGCCTTGGCATATACGCCGATAGGGTGGTTTTGGGCGGCGTCCAATACTTTAATATTTTAACAACTTCTATGTTCCCATTAATGCCGAAATTGGGTGCATCCTGAAATCACATTTTAGATTTGTGACGCACATTTGTCCAGGTTATGATACATTTACTACGTGATTATACTCGACGTTGCTGCCTCTACGGAGAAAAATAGTACTGAAAGTACCATTATTTTGTTGCTACTTGAGGGTATCATATGGGGTTTTGTATAGGATGGTCACCCCTTTTGGCAACCCCTTTTGACAACCTCACTTTACGTCACAAATTTACTCCACTGCTCGTTTTCTTTCACTTATGCTACGAGACCAATTTGTGATTTCAGGATGCACCCATTATGACGATTCCACTTTAAATCTTATAATCCATACAAATCAGCATGTTGAGCTTTGACATCCGTATGAATCCTGTGCAAGCTACTCAAGCCAATTTGTTGCAGCTAGTACTCTTGTGCAGCTGATATGTTTGCAAATTCCGGCCTCATAGTCACCTGCGGCTTACTTCTCCAGTTGGGCAGCTGGCTTGGGCAGGGCTAAGCAAAATACAATATGATATTGATTGGACTCTCCAACCTTCCCCAATTAACTAGGGCTCCGCGTAGGCTGGGGTAGGAGGACCTTGGTATAAACCCCTTTTTTCTTTTTTTTTCTTTTTATTGATTATTTTTCTTATTAGCTGCGGTCATCTCCTGCGCCTGCTTCGCAGCCGGCTTCGCAGCCGCAGCATCTGCCCGAAAATTTGCCTTAAATCTGTAGAAGCAAGATATCAACCGGCAATGATTTACAAAATAAAAAATGTGAACCTTGGTTGAGATCTGTTTGTAGCTTATAGAAAATGCAAATGCTTACCTCTAGTGCTATTGTACAGTCCACTTCAATCGTTCCCGTTACTTCAATTCGTCAATATATGTATGGATTCATACCAGTGTCGTCGGTAGCACACCGGTTCGAAGTGCCCACGCATATAAACCTTTTGGAGGGCCCAGTGCGGCACCGGAGTCAAACCGGTTGCTAGAAAATGTACCAGTTAGATGTCAAGAGGTCGTTTGACTTGACGTACCACGATATAATCCGATTTGGTCTGCGATAGCAGCACTAACGTTGTTTCCTATCCCAGTACAATTGGGTTATTTTCTTATTTCCCCTCACTAATGTAGCCACAACTCAAGTGTAGAGTTAAAAAGAGTTAACCATAAAGGCGAGAAGAACAAAAGTGTCTAATTAATGTGGATAGTTTACTTCGGTTTCCCATCATCGTACATCATATCCTACGCTTACCAAAGCATGCCTTAGATCTCATGCACCTGTAATTCAGATACAAACCTCACAAGGTTCGAAATTTTGCTTTTAGTATAAGCATTCTATTACAATTGAGCTCGATTTCTGTAAGATTTTCACAGCAAAAGTAAGTAGCAACGGTTCTTACTATTATATACTTATTAGTGTTTTTAACCTCCTCTTGCACACCAATTGCCGTCGAATTCATGGGGAAGTGATCATACCAAGCACAAATTGTGTAGATTTCTGCGCCAGACTTCCTATTTCTGATTGCACGAAATTGGTGACGGGGTATCAGTAAGTTATTCCCGTAAGTTACTGCGAGTTATTGTTACGGATATTGAAATTTACCGAGCCCTGGGGTTGGGTGTTTTAATTAAGGTGTTGTCATCTCGAACCGCATATTTTAATTTGATGCCACTAAGGCTCGGTTTCGACAGGAGCTGCACCTATACGATTTCAAAAACGCTGAATGCGTCTCGAGGTTTGATTTGGTTTTGCAGCGGTTATCCGTCCATGCCGCTCCACCAAATGAAGTGGTTTTGTTTATTCTAATCGTGAGCTTGCCATATACAAACGCAAAGCACCTGACAAGTATGTATTCTTCGACTCGCGAGTTTGAATGCAGATGCGGCGTTCAAAGTGTAAAATTCGCTATCCAGCAAGTAGCGCTATAAATCTGTCGTTTGGCTGCTCGGCACGATGACACCTAGGTAGCCTGATCGACATGCATCCTCATCTACAATACCGGTTAATTGCAGACGGTAAACTAAAGTAGTCTTCCAGTATCTAGTATTTACACGGCATCTCATCCGGCAGGCAGAGGAAATGCCTGTGAATAGTACAATTGTGACAATAGTAACGGGAATGCGGCACATCTGCTGTTTATTGTACTAGAAGTATTGCCGTTTGCAGATATTTTGGCCAACGCATGCTTATTATCTCGTTAATAATCTCGATTTTAATCCAGCCAGCTCTTAATTAAGACCTAGGTCTGATTTATATATCTCGCCAGTACGGTCTAAGATCCGAGCTTGGGGCTCTGTTTTCTCGACCAAGGCGCTTTTCTACGACTTGGAAACGCAGAAATGCCATTCTAGACGGGCCAAACCGAGTTTCTGGGCCTAAAAGCGGCCCCCAGCAAAGCATAAAGCTAAATCAGCCCTCGCCTATCTCGTGTCCACTCATATTAAGAGACAGGCGTGGTCTATTTTAGAGGGCAAAGTATTTGCAAGCGGCAATACTTGGCTAATAGCCAAACACTTCTATCCGACGATATTGTCAAGCATCTTTATCTGCGTTTTCCGAATAAATGTTTTTTTAGAATACGAACTATCTTAACGTTTTAAATACAAGATAGTTCGTATTGGCGAAGCTCCGAACTGCGAACCCCCCCCCCCCCCCCCGCGTTCACCACCCGGGTCCCCAATTACTGCACATGTTGTATGCACTCTGTGAAACTCGGTCTTCGTATCTATTATATCGATAGTGAGCGATTGCGAGGAGTGTACATGTAGGTAAAGCATTTGGGCTTAGCGAATAGGAGCTAATTGTTGTCTTGCTGAGTCCGGTCCAACCCCCAGGATGGAACAAAGTCGTGCCTGC